GCACATGAAATGGCGCCCGTGCGCATCAGGGCGCATGCGCGCAAAGTTATGCCCAACATTGGAGGAATCAACTCATTTTGAAAACTTGTAAATCAAGAGAAACAAGCATTTATTGTGCCTTTCCTTTAAGAACTGAAACTCAGAATAATCAAATCACTGCTGAGAAGTTTCTTATTATAGAAATAGTAAATAAAGACTGATAGAATATAAAACATCAATATTTTGCAACTCATTAACGTATCTAGCTGGCCCTGTCCAAGCCAGTAGCCACAGCCACCAGTGTCTATTTAAACTTCGATTAATTAAAATTACACATTAGTCAATAGCTACAGGTGGCTAGTGGCTATCATATTTGACAGTATAGATACAGAATATTTCCATCATCACAGAGAGTTCTATTAGATGTCATTGATTAAGACAGTGACCATCAATGCCTGCTAAAATCACAAAAAGACAAAACCAGACTTAATATCTACTGATGGAAGTATACACCACCACCACCTCTGAAGGAGTCTTGGGGGAAAAAAAAGAAAATTACAGAAAAATCAAAGTACAAAGAAACATGTTAACACTATGGAAATGAATTCAGCAAAGTCGAGTGTGAAAAATTATACAGGGAAAAAATGCAATAAAGGAAAGAGAAGAGGAGAAAAAGAACACATATGGAGACACATACCAACCAATGTACGGACTGTAATTGGTTGGACCCTGATTCTGAAACACTTTTTTAAAATTTAAAATAATCAAAGAAATCTAAACAATGAATGTATATTTGATTATTCTGAAGAAGTACTGCTAATTTTTTTACATGTGATACTGAGATTGTCTTTAAAAAGAGTGCTTATCTTTTAAAGACACATACCAAAATATTTATAACTGTAATTTTCTAGGACTCACTTCAAAATAATGCAGGAGTGGGGGGAAAAGGAAAGTAGCAGGGAAGGAAGTGAATGGAAGTATAGAGGAATTAGCAGCCCTGAGGTGATAATTACTGACACTAGATAATACTTTTGTGTTCATTATGCCATTCTGCTCTTGTATAGGGTTGAAATTTGTCATAATAAAAAGTTAAGATTTTATTTTTAATCAGAGCTCCATTGAAATGAATCAATGTCCACATCTCTTCAACCACCCATTTTAGAATGCTACACATCTTAAGATATTTAGCACAGCTCACAAGCAAAGCTCCCTTCTTTTGTATGTATAAAAACATAAGTATATGAGATATGACACTTAAGGTGGTAGTGTCTCTGCTGGTATTGATTAAAGTTCATTCGACAAGGTTTTATTGGATGCCTATTATAAAGCAAACTTTGTGCTTCTGAGAAACACTTTTTAAAAAGGTCTGAATTTTATAGTATTGGAATTATCATCTTAATTTTTTAGCATCATAACTGATTGGATTTTCTGTTAATCCAGTGTTTAACTAGTGAATATCCTAATCACCTGAAGGTCTTGTGAGAACACAGATTGCTGGGCCAAACCTCACAGTTTCATATTCCTTGGTCTGGAGTAGAGCCTGAAATCCTGCATTTCTAGCAAGTTTCTGGGTAATGCTGATGCTTCTGGTCCAGGGAATACACTTTGAGAACCACTGTGTTAATCCATACCAATTCCAGTAATTTAGAACAGCTAATAGAGTAAATATCTAATCTGCATTGGGATGGAGACAACACTCTGTTTTGGCACTACTTTAAGTTCTTCCTTATTAAAATGAGCCAGGGAAGAGAGGACTCAAAAAAGGAAGTAGGATTTATTGTGGCTAATAACCCAGGATTTTCTACTCAACCTGTTTATAACCCAATCTTACCCAATTTGGGTAATCTCAACTCCAGTGGAAGATAAGCAGAAGATATAAAAACGAGACCGAAAACTGAAGGTAACTAGAAAATAACACAGCACACATACCCACCCACAAACACCCACCATTATCAACCAGATGTGCCCATAAATATTGGTAAATTTCCATAGAAGGGTCAGCATACAGATTTCTACTTATTAGATAAAATTTGTGAATTACTGATGATAATCTTCATGTGTTTTGAAGAACAATATACAGACAGTTCCAGATTTTTAATTTCTGCAGTATGAGGTATTCTGCTTAATGTCTATACCAGAAATTAACTATGATTTTAAAATTTTGTTTCTTACAGGGAAAGGTATAATTATATTGTGCTGAAATAGACTGGTGATTTAGAAATATAAGGAAATGACCCAGATTTCAAGGAAATTCAGCATATTTAGACTTTCTTAAGTTCCACCATTTTGTGCCATGGTACATGAGGGCTACAAAAAACAAATCAAGAGCTTTTTCTGTCATATTCCCCTTTCAAAATAAGTCTTTTCTTTAAATACATTTGTCAGAAAATATTCTGGCTATAAATATCCACTGAATGCTTACTATGTGTCAGGTACTCTGCTAAATATCATTGTTTCATTTAAAATTTTTAATCAATTAAACCCCAGTGGTAGGTATAATCCTCAGTTTACAAATAAAGAAACTAAGGCTGAGAATCATTAAACCGCCTAAGATAAAACTAGTATGTGGTGGATTCAGTATTCAAACCTAAATTTTCATGGCCATTATCAACTATACCACTATGGCTCTCAACACATATTGATTCCTACTGGTTAACAATGATACCATTTAGTGAGTTTCTATCAAATGCTTGGCAATATGCAAAGTATGTAGTTTATACACATTATTTCATTCAATCCTCTCAAAATTCTATATGACAGTCTTCATTTTACCAGAAGGGCATTCATAACGTGAGAAGTTTCAAGAAACTTGCTAAAAGATCACATGTATAATAATAGTAGGAAAGCCAGTATTTGAATTCTGACTCCAAAACTCATTTTGTTCTTAGCCAGTACATTTAACAGCTTCCTAGACTAGTCTCCTGTAGTTATTCCTATATTTTTAACTTGCATGCACAGAACAGGATACTCAGGTTTCCTAAGTTTAAACCTTAAAGGCAAAATTCCAGCCTCAAATGATGATATACCCAAGATTCCAAGTTGTATTTGCTGAATTTTGTTTTGTATCATCCAAAGTTTGAAGAAACATTTTTTGTATCTTTGCTATTATCACTGATAAAATCATTGTTTATATTACTAATCAAATTGTGGTATTAAATAGAACCGTGAAACATTCTACCAGAGATTAATTTCATGGTCATCATGAATAATTAATGAAACACTCTTCCAATATTAAATGCCTTGTACAAACAAAAACAGTCTAAGTCTATGCCTTTCCCACACCAAGTCAAGGGTTAAGATCCCCTTACCAGTCATCTTTTAAAAAAAAATAAAAAATAAATGGAAAAAGCAATAGTTCCACTTGCAGATATATAGCATCAATTATGTAAGTGCTCTCCACCATTCAAGCTATTGAGAAAAGTTACATTCATTCATTTACTTCAGGCATAATTACTTTTATCTATATGCTAAATATGTGTGTGTGTGTGTGTGTGTGTATATATATATATATATATATGTATATTTATACTTTTTGGCATCCAATAAAAATTTAGTTCATTTTTCAATGATTAATTCTTAAGTGAACCTATTCTGGCTACGGTATACAACTTACAATCCATTTTAGAACAACTCTGGACATTTAACATTTATTGTCTCTTTAAATATCGAAAGTTGTTTTTTTTTTTTTTTTAATTTCATTGATAGTAATTTGAATTTAGAGATGCCCAGTTCTTGATTAATATTTTCTTTTTTTTTTTTTTTTAAAGATGACCGGTAAAGGGATCTTAACCCTTGACTTGGTGTTGTCAGCACCACGCTCACCCAGTGAGCAAACCGGCCATCCCTATATAGGATCCGAACCCGTGGCCTTGGTGTTGTCAGCACCGCACTCTCCCGAGTGAGCCACGGGGCCGGCCCCCTTGATTAATATTTTCTATTAAACTAAGTAACTTCAAATGTAAGAAAATATCTTAGAAATATACCTTGGAAGAGGTGAACCTTAGTAAAAAATCAGATATAAAAGCATTGTCCAAACTCCTCAGGATTTATTTTGAGATGCCTTATCAACCTATGGCATTAACAGCTAGAATTGGTCGTGGAATACTTTAAATTAGCAACTGGAGAATCTTATTATGAGTTTTGTAGTTGAAAATGCCTTTTTTATAAATAAAAACTTATACAGTGTTCATGCCATTATTTTTGTTGTTGTTGTTCACTAAATATGAAAAACTTAGATAACATGGATTTGCCAATCAATTTCTTAGGCTACAAAATAAGGATCAACACAGTTAAACTCTCGAGAGATAGTTAAAACAGCCCTATTTTAGACAGCAAGCAGACAGAAAGTACAGGCAGCCTGAAACTCTAAACTGATTCACAGATCCTCCCTGCCCACCCCCCCACAAGTTTTATTACCCCATCATGGATCTAGTGATGTTTGGAGCAGATACCATGATTTCAGTATCAGTGAAGGGTTTTAAAAAAAAAAAAAAAAAAAAAGGTCCTCCCAGAAAATAGCCTTGAGTGGCTCTGTCATACCTGAGCAGATCCAAACTACATATAGAACCAAATAGCCCAGTTGGTTAGTAGTTTTTACAAAGCTTCAGCAAAAATGGAAATACATTAAAACTCAAAGTCAAACACTGTTCTCCTAGTGCCTCAAGTAGTTTATTGGTAGTTATTATCCACATTTCTATAAATATAAACATTCTAAGTACTATCACTAGTGCAGGTACATTTAACATGAAAGCTCCACAAGAAGCTACTTCTTTTGTGTGTAACAATAATTAAGTTTCCAAAGGTTCAGTTGAGCCAGTTAAAAACAAAACAAAACAAAAAACACACAAAAAAGCAAAACCAAAAATGAACCCTGCTAGCAAAGTGCATTTCTTTTGGTGATTTTTCAGAACAAACAGCAGTTGGCTTTACACACAGAAAATACACTGATTTGCTATTATATGATCACTAGAATTAAGACTTCCTGTAGATAAGAATTAGACAAATGTCTTTCCTCCTTATAATTTAGAGGGTTTTTTTCTTTATTTCAATGTAAACAGCACTAGTGAATTATCATAAAACAGCTTTGCTACTTTCCCCTTCATATTCTATAATTGTAATTCTTATCTGCAGTACTGTACCATCTCTTCCTTCCTATAATCAGGACTGGTCAGCCCGTGTAACACTGTTTAGTTTGTAAACAAAAAATTAAAGCTCAGAATACATATAGGGTATCTTTTACATTTTCATTCCACAGCACATCAAATGTTGTTTATAAAGCTTTTGCTCTTCCCGAAACACTACAAAAATATACGAAAACCCACATTTTCAGCCAGCAAATATTAATAGAACAAAATCTTATAAACTGAAATATTTTAGACTGTGTATTGTATTTTTTTGACTGAATTCATCACTTGCTTTCTTCATAAATCAATACATGTATCCAAGCATATGTGTTTAATCTACATGCCCATATTTACTATGTAAGATAATCAAGTAAATCATTTTAGGTTCAAGTGAAAGTGCTTCTGACAACAAACTATTTCTATGACAGCCCTAAGTCCCAAAAAAGTTGTTTTAAAGACCTGTGTAGAAAGATGCATAGCTATTTCTAAAAAGTAAGACTACACACCAAAACATGCTTTGTCAGGAAAACTAATCCATGCACTTGAATAAATCCCAAATACCTTATTTTCATTAAAATTAGACCAACTTAATATTAAACATTGACTCGAATTAAGATATTGCATTAAATTATTTGATTCCAGAAAATGTCAAAAATCATTTGACCAAAACTTAAAAAAACAAACACTTCCTCCTTGTCCCTTACATTAGAAAAGGACTGTTTGGACCAATGTGATCAATATAACTGTATATATATTAATCTATCTTAACATTTCCATTCATTAGCATTTTATCTTAACATACAAAGCCTTGTATGCAGTTTCCTTGCAAAAGCTTCCCGCCCACCCCCTGAAAGACATAAGCACAAAACACTAGGCAGACACTCTTCAAAGTTTTATTTCACTAACTGCAGGTCAAATTGCCACAGTGTTTTCTGGTCAATTTACTATCCTTGCTTGGTTTCCAAAACAGTAGTACCAAAAGATTTGTGGGGTGGGGAGAAGAGACCACTTTAGAAGCATTGCATTTACTCATCTTCTACAAGGCAACAGAGTTGGGTATCTCATTATTCAACAAAACAAAGCTTTAATAGCATCCAGAAGGGCAGAGAGGCAAACCAGGCTGCAGAAACTCCCGTTTGTCAAAATCAGACCAGTGAAACCCTACTCCACACAGACATAAAAGGTATCAATATTCATCTTTTCTTTTTCTGTTGTCGCAACATTTTTCTTCTTTTAATTATCATATCATGTAGTTTCTCAAGTCCTTCTTTTAGTCCATCTCCTATGATTGCACAGGAAGGCTGCAAATGCCACGGGGTTGATGAGCTCAGTTCACCCATTGCTAACAATTTCTCAATTTCTGAGAGAGACAATGAGTTCCTGAGGTCTTGTTTGTTAGCAACTATAAGTACAGGAACTCCTTGATTTTCTGATATCCTAGTGATTTTATGAAGTTCGGTTTTGGCTTCTTCCATCCTTTCGACATCCACAGAGTCCACAACAAACACAATGCCATCTGTGCATCTGGTATATGACTTCCACAGTGGCCTTAACTTCTCCTGACCACCTACATCCCAGAAGTGAAAAGTGACTGTTTTTGAATTTCCCAAGGTTACCTTAATTTTCTCAGTGTTAAATCCTTTGGTAGGTACGGTATTCACGAATTCATTGAACTGCAGCCTGTATAAGACAGTTGTCTTTCCAGCACAGTCCAAACCCAGAATAACAATGTGGAAGGACTGAAATGAAGGCAGGCTGGACAGGATAGAAGTCTGGTCTGATAGTCCATTCCCCATTTCCAGCTGCAAATAAGTGTCCCAAATTGAAATGCTTTCTTCTTAACTGCTTTAGAACTTCTCTTCCTAGGTGATTCTACAAGACTGCTGGGGAGGAAAATGAATAAGTTATTCCTGTGAAATAACACTAATAAACGGGTTTTCTCTATTTTTGCTAAAATAAGCAACACAAAGAACTTAATAAAACTTGCTTTAGTAAACAACCAGAGGAGATGTGAAACGTACGCAATCCAAGACAAACGATGGAATAGTTGGGATCGAAATTCTTTGATTCACTTAAATTACGGTAACAGGTACTTTTCTCTACTGCTCTCGGTCCCCAAACCTCAAAGAGCTCATTCCGGAGACAACTCAGTCACCAGTATCCAGTCCAAGTCTCCTTAACTATAGAAGTGTTATTTGGGCAGAAAACTCAGATAATCCTATCTTGGAAATACAATTCCACAGTCTTAACGGCATACCCAAGATCACTATTCCACTCCTCTCCCCCAAATAACAACGCTCTCACCTCCCGCACTGGAGTCTGGGTCCAAATGAGAAAGCATCGCAGGCGATTCTAGGCAGGAGAAAGCGCCTCACGTCCAGTCAGCTCAGCTCTCCACGCAGCTCTGGCAGTTGCCTCACTAGAAACCTTGGACTCAGACTCCGGCCACGCCCATTCCTCGCGACCCACCCAGATCCTAAATCCCATTGGTCCCCCACGTCAGGGTAGCCACTCAACTCCCGCCCCCACGCCCTAACTGGCGAGGCCAACTGCCGCTCCCAGCGGGGCCGAGCCCGGCTCTGTCTCGGTCCACCGGCACCACCTGTTGCCCTTAAGTTAGAAAACAAGGCGCTCTCGATGGGAGCGCAGCGGCCCCTGCAGGGGAGGCACGGCCTGGACCTGTCAGGTCGCTGCCAGGCCGCCGGCTCCGCCCGCCTGGGCGCACCTGCAGCGCGGCCGACCGACGCCACGCCGCGGTTCTCACATCCGGGGCCCGCAGTCACCGCCGGCACGTTAACCCTTTGTCCTCTAGCCTGAGGATGCCCGCTGTGGCCACGCCGGTCCCTCAGGCGTAAGTGATCAGACCTGCAGCCCCACCGAGGCAGACCCGGCCTCCCCGCAGCAGGTTCCCTTCGCCTCGCCCCTCCGCACCCCGCCTGCTCTTCTCCCGGGGAAGGGCGTGGTCATCCCAGCCACCCGCCCCGCTGGGGCTTACCTGACTAGCCGGCCTTCCCTCGTCCTGACTCAGCGTCTCTCTCAGCCGCTTGGGAGGCGCGCTGATCCCTGTCCGTGGGCACCAGCGAGGCCTGCCCGGTGGCAGGGGACGGGGCGCCGCTTGCAGGGGCGCCAGGCAGCCCAGACTGCTCCCCGGCAGCTCCCCGCGCCTGCTGCGGCCCCGCCCCTTTCGCGTGCGTCACCCGGGAGCCGGCCAGTGGGGGGGCGCGCGGGAGCCGGGTCTCCTAGCAACGCCAAAACAAGGTCACGTTCGAACCGGCCCGGCGCTGGCTGCCCGCGAGGTCGGGTGGGGCTTCCGGCCTCTGCCCGGGAGCCGTTGCTCTCGGGAGCCTTTTTGACCCCTCCAGCTAGCTTCGGGCAGGCCCCGCCCGGCACCGCCCTTCCTCAGGACGCCCTTGGGGCGGTGGCCGCGTGATGCAGGGTCAGGGATTCAAGAGGACACCAGATGAGCGGGCCCCTTATGTAACGGGTGACGTGGAGGTACCTCAGTAGCCGCCTTGGGCGGCCTGGGCTGGCGGCAAGCGTAATGCACCTTCATTTTGCAAAGCAAGTGAACGCTCGCTCTCCCACTTGATTCTAGCTACATCCGTGAGGTGGCGACAGGTAGACATATCCCAGTTTTATAGATGAGGACTGATTATCTAAATGTGCTAGTTATTAAACGCATAATGCTTTCCGGTGGATGATTCTGACTAAATGTAGTTCTTTGATCCATAAATTAGCAAACATAGGCAGAAGGCACAATTCTGTGTACTTTCGGATAAAATGATAAGCAAAACACACTGTCTCTGCTCTCGTGGAATATTGGAACGTTTAGGGGAGGAAAAGAAAGTAACCAAATTGTCACATGAATACATTTATTTTGATATGTGATCAGCAGTAATTTCAGGGTGCTTAATGACAAAATAGAAAGGGGTAAAGACTTAAAGTTGAGGGAAAGCTTTAATGAACACCCCATTTTTTTTTTTTTTTTTTTTGGTGGAGACTAAGATTGTAATTTAGAAGAATCTATATGATGTACTTTTTAAAAAATGTACTTTTTTTAAAAATATGGTTTGTAATTTTTCCAAGAAATTTCCTGATTTTTCTCAAGATCACTATTGCTAGTGATATTTACCGCCTTTATGACTAGCATAGGAATCAAGGATTCTATGGATTTTTTTAAATAGCTGACATGAAACCTGAGGACTAAACCGTTTCAAAACAGCAATACTGATTTTGGAAATAAGAGCTAGAAATCTCAAATGGCATATTCTGTCAAGTTACTTATTATATTCTAGTATAAGCTAAGGATTGCCTTATTATGATTGTGGTATCTCGTTAGCCATTTACAGTAATTAACACATAAGTGATAAAGTTCAATAACTAGTCTCTTTTTCTTGGAAATTTCATGGATTCTTTATTAAACTGGAATAACTTGTAAATCCTTGTTAAATGACGAATTTAGAGCAAGAAAATTTCATGACCTCCGTCTGTTTACAATGGTTTTGAAATTGAGTAGGTCCATCCAGTATTCCTGGCATAGGTGCATTTCTGCACAGTCTTCCCTGGAGCAAAACAGATGAGATATGAAAACACTGAGAGCTTCCAGCCTTGCAGAATCACCCTCACTGAATTGCACTTAAATGTTATAACCTAGGCTTGGTTGGCAAACTACAGCCTGTGAGTCAAATTCAGGAGATAAGAATGGTTTTTACATGTTTGAAGAGCTGCAAGAGGAAAGATAAGAATGTGCAATAGAGATGCCCCACAGAGCTTAAAATATTTGCTCTCTGCCTTTTTAAAGAAAAATGTTTGGTGCTCCAGTTCTATACACAATAGCAACCATATGAAAATAGCAACAAATGATTTCAAATATGATAAAATTTATGGAACACACTGTCCACTTTGTTGCACAATCTTCCTATAGAAGGCTGTTCAGATATTTTATTTATATGTTATGCCAGGAAAATGTTCACTTTAGGCTGTAGCTCATAACTGTGTGCTGGGGTGCCTCGAGGAATTCCTACAGGTTCTGTGGGATAGTTTAACTTTTTGAGGGAAACACAGTGACATCTGTTGGACCATATTAACAACTACAACTATTAAGTTTGAATCTATCTACTTAATAAATGGACCTTTTGGGTATTTCTTTTGGCCTGAGGCACTATGAACAAATTAGAGACACTAGGGGCTAATAATGAGAATCACCTAGTGGTACTTGTAAATCTATAGATTCCTGGTCCTCATTCCAGACCTCTCAAATCAGAAGTATCAGGAGAGGGGCTGTGATCTACATTTTAAATAAGTAGTCCAGGCAATTAATGATCAGACATTTTGAGAAAATATTGATCTTAAGAAATTGGGTAAGTTTTCTTCTTTTAAATACCTGCAACTGAGTAATTTACCTTGTTCCCCTTTTTTAATTAAATATCAGAATCCAGATAAAACCTCATCCCTGTAACATTTTTCCTCTCTTCTACAATCTGATTTTCTATGATCTATGTAAGTTAAGTGTTCACATACTGAAACTAATGTCTTTCCTGACCTTTGTCACTCCATATACACAGAGATAGGTAGATATAGTTATTCCTTTTTGAGGATTCCTCACTTCTTTTGTTTCAATGCATATTTATTGGAATTTCCCAAGTTTAAAGGTCTGCATAAATAGAAGGCATGGTCTCTGGTTGAAAGAACCAGTCCCACTAAGGTGATAGATACACACACACATGCAAGCACATAATTCCTGTAATAGTTAGTAGGGCTTTTGGATGGTAAAATATAAGTTATTATTAAGCCCTATGCCTATACAAATTTTCTCTGACAGAGTCAGGGTAGCTTAACAGAGAAATGTCATTTTTAAGCTGGATATTCAGAGAACTCATCACCGGGCAAGAGGTGGGGGAACAGAATTGCAAGAAGGAGGAAGACTATGCAAGGAATGGAGGCACAGAGTTGCTAGATATTCAAGTACATCCAAAAGGGGAGATTCTAAATTCCCATGGGAAGAAAGGATATGCTAGAAAAAGGATATTTTCATCCTTTAGCCCTTGTTTTTTAGTCCCTGTTTTGGTTGATTGTTATTCATTTCAGTAGTCTCAATTAAAAATCTCAGAGCCATTTAAAAAATTCTCTTATGTCCTATTTATGATTAGCCACCAATCTCCCTTTGACCCATTTCTTTCTTTCCATTCCCATTTCCGCTACTTACATCTGGTTCTTATGATCTCTTACCTAAGCTAGTTAATTCACCTCCTAATTGATTTTTAGCTAATAAGCAGTAGAGCAGGGATTTATCCCCTTTGTCTGCCTCCAGAGTCTGTTCTCATCCTCTACACTCTAGGGAGTCCACATTTAGGTTAATTCACTTTGGTCCCCCACCGCATAAATCCAGGGTACAATTTTTGGCAAGATGTTAGAAAGAGGATGTTAGAAGGGAAGGACAACTCAAAATTCACTTAGATTGGATCCTAGATAAGAATACTCAGGGTCTACAAGTCCAGACCTTCCTCATAAACGTCTTTTATGAGCAGTTTCCAGGCCTGTCTCCACCCAGTTGCAAATTACAGGACAGTTTGCCCCTTGCTCTGGGAAGGCCCAACTGCCAAGAGGCTGGTGGTGGAAGATGTCTTGCCACATCACACACAAGGCCTACTTTCTCCGTCCCTATTTCCTGGCCTTGAGCCAACTTCTTGCTGGAATGATAAACAAAACATCGAGTTTTGTCAGGGCCTCAACAGGGCTACGCGTCACAACGATGAGTCCTGATTCCAGTTTTAACTAACATTGTGTTATGTTTTATTTCAACAGTCCAGGTTTGTCCAGACTCTTTACATTTCTATCTTCTATCATGAACATTTTTATCCTCTCTTTCACAGGTTTTCATGTCCTCTTGTTAGAGTGTTTCAAGGTTCAGTCCTTAGGTCTTTATCTGTACTTCCTTTTTGGGTAATCTCCAGTATTTGTATTCTCCCAAATTTGTTTCCAACCTGGACCTCTTTCCTGAACTCCACTACTGAATGGCAGATAAGCATCTCAAACAGCTTCTCAGACTCCTCAGACTAAGTAATTCCTGTCTCATTCATTGACAACCCCATCTACCTACTTGCTGAGAGCAATAACCTAGGAGTCGTCCTCATATATCACAGGTAATCCACCAGCAAGTCCTGTTGATACATGTATCCAAAGCTGACCTCTTCTCACCACCCCCACTGCTGTCCTCTAGTTCATGCCCATCATGTCCCGGGTCCACTCATGTAGTCTCTGCTTCTGAGGGAAAACTCTTCCCCAAGGCCTCAGGCCTTCCCTGAATGCATATTTAAAGTATCTGCCTTGCCCTGTCCTCTACACCATCATTCTGTTTTGTTTTTCTTCCTAGCACTTGTCATTACCTGACATGATATGCATTTGTTTATTGTGTGCCTTTACTAACTGCCCCCCTCTACTTTCCCACAGTTAAGACCCAGGAAGCAAGGATAATGCCAATCTTGTGTGCTGCTCTATCCCCACTATCTACAGCAATGTTTGGAACACAGTAGGAGCTCAGTGCATTTATTGAATGAATGTTTAATATCCTAAGAATAACTGCTCAAACAAGAACCCCCAGGCCTCCACAAAAACAGGTGATAGTTTTAAAGGCACAATTCCATATGGAAAAAAATACAAAATAAATGACATGTGCCAATTTATCATTAAATAGTCAACATATGTAAAAACAACTTTGAATGCACCAAACAAAGAATAAAATGCTTAGTTTCTCAATGTAAAATACCTACGTTAAGTTTAACTGTTATTTCACCATTCCTAAGTCAATCATCAGATACTTGCTACGTTTTTATAAGTAGTAGACCCTTTCAAGTGGTTTTGTTAACCCTGAGAGCAGGAGGCCCCAAAGGAGTGTACAGATCTTTACAACATTTGAGGTGGAAATTAATTATGGTTTTGAGAAAAATAATTTTCCTCTACCCTTGAGCTATCAATGTTTCAAAATATTTTAGCCCAAGTTTTAGCCACATTTTTCTGTTTTAAGCATCTCTATTGTTTTGTTTTCACCGAATGTTTGTTTGTTTTATTACTGGTGGTTATCCTGTGGGGGTGGGGGAATGATTATCAGAGTATATATGGTTAA